TTATTTTAAGGAGATTATTAAGTTATGGGTAATTATATTACCACCACATATTTTAATAGTTACACCACAATTTTAATTTAATTTTTTCATTTACTTAAATGACCTTGAGTAAAATTACTTGATTCACCCCACTAGGGCTGTCCATGGGTCGATTCGGTTCGATTCTGAAGAGACCCGAACCGACCCAACCCAAAACTTTCGGGTATTTAATAAATGGATCCGTCGGATCCAAATATAATTATGAAGCCGTTCGGGTTAGGTTCTGTTCCATTCGGTTCCGTACCATAATTAATTTTTTTAATATTTACAGCAACACTACATAAATACAACTAATGACATTTCATTCGTAACTTTTACAAATTAACGTAGCCCAATTCAAAAACATATAAATAACTAGCCGTACAATAAGATTAATTCAATGCATACAAATACCAAAAAGTGGATATTAATATTATAGCAAAACTACATAAAGTATATTCATTTGCTTCAAATTAAAATGGGTTAATGAGTTTCAAAAATGATTTGGACTTTCAAATTAAAATTATGAAATAATCTGATTTATTTAATTAATTTGCTAATTTGTTTAGAAAAAAATAAAATAATTTAATTAATTCAATATAAAAAATAAAAAAATTATTTAGTTTCGGTTCTTCGATTCTTGGGCTAGATCCGAGACCCGACCCAAACTCATCGGTTCTCGATTCGGGTACCCGTTCGGGTATTTAATTTATGAAGAACCACTCGATTCGATTCGATTCGGTTCGGTTCGGTTCGGGACTTTTGGACACCCCTACACCCCACACTAAAATATATTCTTTGACATAAAATAATTTGTTTATAGACACCACAATCACAACCATTATAGCGTCTCTGTATTCCTTTTACATGCGGTGCATCGTTTACAGTATTTTCAAGAGACCAAAATACTTCCAAAATCCTTTTATGCCATTTCATACAATAATCTAGAGAGAAACCAGATGGGGGAGTGAGAGAATTGTCTTCTTGTTCAAGAAATAGGTTGGAGTTTTCCAACTCTGAACCTGCATTATACATAAATATGTGTATATATAAAGGAAACACAAGTTTTATTTTTGTTCTTTTGGGTCAATTTTTTGTTCTGCAAATCCTAATTTCAGTTAATTGGATCTTCAATTTTTTCGACGAGTTTGTAGTGCAAAACTTATAATTTGTTAAGTGAGTACTTTACTGAATTCAATTAATTGTTAGTTGGTTGCCCAGGAAGTCGTGGTATTCTTAAAATCCTAGGCTTTGTTGATTTTACAGTGTCTAGAAAAGAAATGTTCTCATAACTTGTAACTATTATCTTTGCCGATGGATTATTGAATTGGTTATTTAAGTATAAATATATTTTGTTAACAATATTTCTTCCATCTTAATAGTAGAAATATTTATTGAAGTTTTACAGTAGAGAAATATTCGAGCATTTCCAAAAGACAGGCCGTCCTTCCTTTTTTAACTTTCATCACTAACAATTCCAATTAACCATCTACGTAGAAGTATCACAATATATACAAAAATTACACGCTTGTTCCAGTGAACCAAAACCAAATAACGAAACAAAAGAAAACCCTACTGGCAAGTGAAAATAAAATGCCAAATTAAACAAGACATTTGTTTATCTTTCTCTGGTGCCCTCCTCCAGGTTAGGCCTGCGGTTCAGCCATCAACTAATTTCACTCGTCGAAGTTTCTAAACTTGTCCTTTGGAAGGTAGAAATCGAACTTGACATCAACTGAACCAGAAACTTCTCCAGTATCTTTGTACTCAATGTTTGTTATTGCTCCAATTTCATCCTCGACTAGATATTCTGATCTCACCCGACGCACTGGTACAGTGACTGAGTAAATGGTGCCAATATCTGGATCAGTTGAGACACTCAGTTGAACTTTATCCTGTGATTCTATCTCCACGAAATCAGACAGTACACTCACAACATTACTCACAATCTTTTGTTTTGCCTCCTCGTTGACTGCACATCGATCAGAGAAGAGAATCATCTTCAACCGTTGCTTTGCAATATTAGCATTAGAATTTCTTCTTGATGTGGGTGATGGAAACATGATCTTCCATGCCAAGTTTAATCGCTCAAAGAAGTTCATATTAGTAGCATTAAGGAGGAAGTTCTCGACTTCCTGGCTGATGGGATTTTTAGAAAGTTTATATTCTTCAAAAATCCCAAGAGGCCGCTTACAATGACAGCGAGTGCTTTGGACATCAAGTATTGGACGAGAATATCTTGGTATAGTCTCAGAAACACTAGATCCGCCATTAAGGAACACACTACAATCCACCTGTAATGCAGCACAAGATCATCTTTAAGAAAAATAATCTCCATGTATTTGTCAATACAACAATTACAAGCAAGATTGGAATATTACATTCTGTTTAAACGAGATACCTAATTTCTGAATTCAAAATGTAAAGAAAGAGGAGACAACAGAATATCGTGAAAGACACATAGCAACTTTACGTGTATAAAACATTTGTAAATCATTTTCTGATTCTCATTATCTTTTTATGAATGACATCATTGTTAACGAGAAAATTTAAATAGTATACATGTGGCGTCTCTAACAGCTTAATATTATACATCTACATGGTATTTCGCAAATGTCACGATTTCAAGTCACATTGTCATCCATTTAATGAAATTATGCATGTATTAGGCTTTGATGGGAAAAGTGAACAGCACCTACACATGAGGGGCATGTTGAAGATAAAATTAAAATAATTCACATTTGACCCTATCTAAGAACTAAAACTTTTAGATCATATGGTTCAATAATGATTCTCTGGACGAGCCACGGGACTGCAAAGGAACCAAGACAAATACATAATACTTAGGAATTGCACAAGTAATTAAAGATATCTCAACTCCGCCACAAAACAGCCTTATCAGATACTCATCTGAGGGCAGTGCTGCCATATAAAATCCTCTTTCTCCCCCTGCTCTACCAAGGGACATATATCACAAAGGTTTAAGTTTCTTCATCAAGTTTTATCGTTTATACAAACCCTATCACTTTACCCAACACGATGGACTGCTTATCAGGAATCACCTATTATAGAAGTGCTTTTGAAGTCCCACCTAAGTCTTACAGTTAATTATAATTAAAAATGGTTCCATTGTCTTTTCTAAATAATTTCCTTTCAGCAGTAAACCACAAAGTTGGAAGAATAAATCTTGGACTTCATCGAGTGAACTTAAATCCTGGATTGACCTAAATAATCCATTAAGTCTTGAGCCCGAAAAAGAAAAAAACCAATAGCCTCAACGACTCTACCTGCATTGTTGCAATTTCCCGACACCATCATCACAACATGAAATCCACGCCAAGATAAAACGAAAGTGAAGAAGCGCACCAATAAGGAAAGTAAGGACTAAACAAACCTTGGAAGGAGGTAAGTGCAGTGAGGTGCGAAGGGGGTTGGATTTGTAAGGAATCATAGCTGCAGAGACCCTTAAATCTCCTGATATCGCCATTCTTTCTTCGAATTTGATTTTACTCTCCCCTTTGTGTGGAGGATTTTGTCGAATTTGCTCTCTAGCTCACTAGGGTTTGCGAGAGAGTTCAGAAGTACTTTAAGCGATGTCGTTTGAGCTTGGGAGTTTTGGAATCCTTGTGCTGCAATGACTAATTGGCGCGTGTTACATTGACAATTATTTATCACCAGTATTTACAGTAGGAGTCCAGAGGTTTGAAACTTAAGCCCATATACATCTGAGAGGTATCATTTTGACCTATTCAATTCAATTATTTTCAAAATTAATGTACTCCTTTTTAGTTTTAATTTAAAATTTAACTCCTGCGTGTCTTGTACACCATATTTTTTTATCTTGATTGTGCGTCACATATGATAAGGCGTAGAGGTAGTTGTGGATTTGCAATAAAGATTGTCATTATTGTTACATCGAGTTAGTTACTCTTCAGTTTGAAATGATTATAAATTCAAGTATCACGAGGAACAAAGTTGATGCAAATATTTTTTTTGAACTCGATATTAATCTCTAACAAATATTATGATTTTACCACTTCATTTCTATTAGGATATCAAAACCTAGCTAAATTTGCTAGGTTTGTGACCTAGTTTATAGTCTCATTTGAGAGAGTCAGGGTCTACCTTGAGAATTTTGAGGCCCTAAACGATTAATTATTTTGAGACCTTAAAGTTAATTTTTTTTTTTTTTTTTTTTTTTTTACATGTGTAGCAATACTAAAATATTTAAAATCGCTTACTGCTATAAAAATAATTTTCACCCTTTTTGGAAGCCCATGAAATTATTGAGGCCCTATGCCATTGCATAGTTGGCTTGGGCCTAGGCCTGGCCTTGGTTAGAGGGAAATTGTGAAATTAACAAAAAATAATAAGTATTTTGTGGGTTGTGGTTCTTACACCCGATTTTATAAGTGAAAATGTGTTTTTGATAGCCTGTTCATTTGGCGTGATTTTATTGGCCCATTTAACACCACTTGGATCTATTTTTTGTTTGAGACTTACTTAGGCTGTTGGATTTAATCTAAGGCTGATGATTGAAGTATAAATAGTTAAATACTCATTTTGGCTACTGTACCGTCATTATTTTTTGGCATTTGGTTTACAAGTTTTTTCATTCTCTCTAACAGAGGCGATTTACAGTGATTATTTGAGGGTTTTACTTCCATTTCTTGAGCTGTTTAGATCGTGGCTCTGTCTTGTTGTTTTTCATCTACTAAGCATGTAATCTTGTGTATTGTTGCGTAGTGTTCAGAGTTTTAGGTTTCATTTGGACTCAAAATGAAACCGGTAAATCTGCACTAGTTAGGCTGTGAGGTTTCTAATTCTTGTGTTGAATATGTGATTTGGGAGATCCGTTTGTGGATCGATGATCATTTAGAAGTGGTCATATTCTGAGTTTTGGTTGTACAGACTTGTATCACTCTCTATTGAAAGTTCTTGCATAGTGACGGGCTTGATTTATCTCTGAGCCCCCAGATTAGGCTTTGCCGAACTGGGTGAACAATTCTGTGTTATTTTCGTTTATGCTGAGTGTGTTTACTGGATCATTTAATTTTGTCTACGTGGTATTTGATTGAACTAATACCAACATATTTTATTAATTGTAAGAGTTGATTCATAGACATAACTCACGTCAACCTTAAAACTAGACCCTTGTTAGTATTTTGGAGTAGATTTCTATTGATTTAAGGATTTTTCCGGTTGTTTAGGATCACAAATGTTGAAAAACTAAGATGAATTGGACCCACATGGAATGAATTCTGAAGTTAGAAGTAAAGAGCCGAGCATGAGAAGGAAGGGAAGTGGATACGAAGGAGAAGCCTTCTGCCGACCCTGCTCGAGTAGGGCCAAATTGTAAGGAACGATACCTCTTTATCTGCTTGAGGGGAAGTGAGGCCCACTCGGATGGACCCTTGATACATTTTTTTAACTCTTATGTTCGCTCCATCAATTGCATTTTCTGCTTCAAGAATAGTTAAATGGTTTCGAGACTTATTATGTTAAGTTTGTACACGAATTGAGAGAGGAACTCTTGGAGGGATTGGACGTTTCAAAGAAAAAAAGGTCAAAATATCTCAAGATTTTTGTTTATCCGTGATTTACTTATAGTTCAAATAAAGAGAAGAAAGAAGATAATTGAAGACCGACTAAAGAGATTCGAGAGTTTGAGTTCATTACTTGAAATTTGGGTGATTTATTTTGATTCAAATTTTTTTTTTTTTATTAAAAATTTAGAGATGCCGAGCTAAACTTGTCTACACTAGAACAAGGAAGACAATATAAAACTCGTACGAAGCTTTAATTCGATTTTTTGCATTTTTTACATTGATTCGTGTTTTGACTGATTATTTGATAAATACGTTGACCAACTTTCGAGCATACTTATAGCTTGAATTACTTCCGAGAGATTTAAAATGTAGGTTTAGCACTTTTTAGAGACGTAAAGTCCAATAGGGAATATGAATATACCATATACTTTATGCAGTCTTTATTGAATAATCATTAAATGGAATGTGCTTTTACATTCGCATATCCTTCATAGAAATATTGTAGAGTCGTGTTTGATATTACTTGAAAAAAGTTATCGGATAATTTTGAATAATCAATTGTCAATTCAAGCACATATTGAAAGAATTATGGAAAATTAATAATTAAAGTAAACTACAAGCGTGCTTTAATCTCTTTGAAATTTCTTTAAAATTCTTCGCAACTTTTAAATTGCTTTCTTTATAATTTTTAGAAACAAATAGTTAAAAACAAATCAAACTCAAAAAATAAATATTTGAGTTAATATTTAGATTAACAAATTTCTTAACTATATAAACAATATTCTTGATCGATACTCGACTATTTCTATTTCACTTGTTCGTGATGCCATACATTTGCAGTTTTAAGCAAACATATTTCATAAAACTTAAAAAGGAGAACTACAAATAAGATCATTTGATATTAAAAACCTCGTGAGCGAATTTTAAGTGAACAAGAAAAGTTTGAGGTGCTGCACCAAAAATTGAAATTTGTGACATATTTTATATAAATTAGTTTAATAGCAAATTTAATCAATTGATTAAAAAATCATTTTACAATGAAAATTAGAACCAATAACCCGTAATAACAATTTTATGTTCAAAAGTCCGTTGAAATTGCATGAAATGACTTATTTTTTCATCATATTTAAAAAAAATAAATAAACAAAGAAAAAGTACGGAAAAATATGTTTCCCTTATTTCAAAGTATGAAACAAAATATTTTGTTATAAATCATCATCAAGGACGAGAGGTACTAATTCATGAAATGTTGAAGATACGAATTCGAAGAAAAAAGTTAAGGAAATAATTGTTACAATGAACGAATATTGAAAAGTTTAACTGCACTTAAAGTGTGGTGTATCAAATAAAAATTGTGGTGACAATATAACCACCCTAAATACAATTAAAATAATTGAACATAGATAAATAAAAACAAATAAATAAGAAAAATAAAAAAATGATAAAAACAATCAAATTTAAAAAGGAAAGCGTTTCATGTTCTCCACCTACCATGTCACTCAAGGCTGTTGTCACCACCACCTCTACCCACCTCCATCCACTCCATCCCCACCAACACGAAACCAACGACACCACTAACCACTTCACCCCAGCTCGTTACTACCTCAGACCAGATCTCTAAAAAAGAATGTTCGATGAGAAGGAACCACATCTTGACTATATATGTTGACCTCAAAAAATGAGTCAACAAAAATTCGGACACCTCCCCATTATGTAAACGTCATATGTACACTAAAACACTCAGTTATGAAGCAAAAGTCGCTAGTCGAGAAAAAGGTCTGGCCATCGTTTGTATTCCAATAAGCAAGTCAACGATTTGACAAGAGATAATATAAGTGTAGATGAGGGTGGAGAGATCATTTGGCTAGGGTTAGGTTACTTTGATTGTGAAGTGATATATATGTGTGTGTGTGGAAGTGAATGAGTCAGGTAGATTAAGTGAAATGAGCCCAAATTCAAGCCCAAGAAAAAACAACGGTTGATATGATATCGATCGGAAAGTTCCATTTTGTAGGGTAAAAAACCTTGCGAAATTTGCCTTTTGCTTAACCATGATTTATATCAATGTATAAAGTGAAGTGTTGTATACATAAAAATATCGTTTGAATTAAGGTGGTTGCGTGAAACAAATTGGCAGTTGAAATGAATTTACATGTCCTAATAAAAAGTAGTTTGCAAAGTACAAGGCTGTCGATGAAATTATAAATAGTGTATTTAACCTTACTCTTCTTGGTATTTCTTGCAAACTTCAATTACTAACTAATTTCGTGATTGTGATGGTTGTGATGGATAAATGTGTGTAGTAGATTAAAGTATTGGGTCATGCTATGTGTACATAGGGGTTGACATGATGTGAAACATAGATTAATCCTAAAGTATTTGTGTCCATTTAAAAGATGAGCAATGCTAGTGGTACATAATTTATGTATGGTGTACATAACTCTCACATGAGATGACTCATTATGTACAACAAGAATAATCCTTAAAATATATATGTTATAACCTGTATTGAGAGGTAGGAGTATTTTAAAGGCCTTAGGGCAAAATTTAGAGGGCTTTTTAAAAAACAATAATAATAAAATTAAATAGAGCAAAGATCACCAACAAAAATTCCGTTGACGATTGCCGATAAGTTAGGTAATGACAATTATGATGGAAATCGATAACCGAAGATGACTTCGGAATGAATTGTTGACACTACTATTATTGATTATTACAAAAGCATGCACTCTGTCATCGACTATTGAAAATAATTTCGTTGATGATGTTGTCGGCAATCGTCAACCGTGCTTCAGTGCTTATTGTCAACAAAGAAGTTATTAGTTTCATCCGACTTGGAGTTCCATTTTAAAAGGTCAATCTTATTAAAAGGAGCGGCACAATCATTTATAAGTTGATTTATGTTTTCATTTTTATTCGAAGTGAGACTTTATCCATT